GTCCAGCACCCGCAGCTCCTGCCGCTCCCTCTCCAACCGCTCCTGCTCCTCACGCTCACGCCGACGGGCAGCCTGGAGACGCGTGTCGTGGCGGTGGGGGGGCGGGGTGGACTCCGCAGAACCAGGGTCTCCAGCGTCAGTCTCCTCAGACTCAGCACCCCCAGAACCAGTACCGCCAGTGCTAGGACCTCCATCTCCAGCACCCCCAGAACTAGCACCGCTAGTGCCAGCACCCCCAACTCCAGCACCCCCAGAACCAGCACCTCCAGTGCCGGCACCTCCAGCTCCAGCACACCCAGAGCTAGCGCCACCTGCGCCAGCACCTCCAGCTCCAGCACCCCCAGAGCTAGCGTCACCTGCGCCAGCACCTCCAGCTCCAGTACCCCGCGACCGAGCACCCCCAGACCGAGCACCGCCAGCGGCTGCACCTCCAGCTCCAACACCAACCGAGTCCACAGTAACCTGTCGCGGAAGTGCCGAAGGCTGCTGAGGGGACTGTGAGGAGGACTGCGGGGAGGGAGACGCTACCTGACGCGCGACCGAGGGGAGAGGGGTAGCGTGGGACACACCAGACGGGGCAGGACCAGGGGGGGGCGGGGGTACCGGAGGAGCGGGAGCAGGAGGAGGAGAGGGTGCGAGGAAGAGAGGGGGAGGGGGTACCGGGAGACCTCGACAGGGGTACCGGGTGTAGTAGGACACGGACTCGTCAAACCGGACGTCACGGGAATCTAGGAACTGGTGGAGGGGAGGGTGGTAAAAGGACCAGTCAGCAGAGTCCACTGGGAAACCAAGGAAGACACAGGGGACGGCGCGTGCCGAGAGCTTGTCCGCGGAGGTGTCGCGAACAAGTGCAAGGCAGCCCCAGACTCGAAAGGCCGACCCAACACCAGGGGATCCAGTCCAGAGACTGGTCGGTGAAGCCTCGGGCCGCGAGACACGCGGCTGGAGGTTCAGCTGGTGTGCGGCGTAGCGAACCCCGTGAGGCCACAGAAAATGGGGCGCACGGGCATGAATCATGGACGTGCGGGCGATGTCCATGACCAAGCCTATGCGGCGCTCAGCAACCCCATTCTGCTGTGGGGACTCTGGCAGCGTCCAGGACTGGGTGATGCCCTGTTCGCCGCAGAATCCGCCGAGAATGCCGGAGCGAAACTCGCCCCCACGGTCGGAGTGAAGACAACTGACTCGACGACCACGAGTGCCCTCAGTGGCTAGAAGCCACCTGATCAGCGTAGCAGTCACCTCGGACTTCTTCGCAAGAGGAAACACTGTGGTGTACCTGGAGAAGTCGTCGACGACCACCAGAAAGTAGCGCTCCCTCCCAGACCCCTGCGTCGGGGCAGGGCCCCAGACGTCCAAGTGGAGAGTCTCGAAGAGAGCGGTGGCCGGACGAAGGGAGGAGGAGTGGGGAGTGGCATGTAAGCGATCGGCGACGCACGGAGAGCAAGGAGGGGCAAGCGAGGGAGGGAGCGACGGGAAGGTGCGTGGGAGACCTGTGACTAGTCCCTGACTGAGCATGCCACGAAGGCGAGGGATCGACGGGTGGCCAAGACGGTGGTGCCACAGGACGGTGCGGTGGGCGAGAGAGCGACAGGAGCAAGACGCAGCGACTGGACTGGACACAGCGACCGGACTGGACACAGCCACCTGACCGGACTCTGCTACCGGGGGGGACGAAGCAACCTGACCAGACGCAGCTACCTGCGGGGGCGGAGTGTGCAGGACGAAGAGACCTGAGTGGGGCTCTCTGGTGAACGTGGCAAGAACTGCCCCGGTGGAAGAGTCCGTACAGATCGCAGTCCTCCCGTGCGCAGGAAAAGTGACTGTGATCCCCCGGTCCTGAAGGTATCCAACACCCACCAAGTTCCGAGAGAACGAGGGGATGTAGAGACCAGTGAGGAAACCAGAGGGGACAGCCGGGCACGGGAGGGTGGTCGAGCTACGAGCAACTGCTGGTCCTGAAGTAGGATCAGCCAGGGCAACTGGGACTGGAGCCGAAAGAGGTGTGACAGTGGTGTGGTCGCGGAAGAAACACTGAGACGCGCCGGAGTCCAGCGTGAAGGAGAGCGACGCAACAGCAGTCGTCACGGCTGGGCTAGTGACTACACAAGCACCTACACTAAAAGCACAAGTACCGACACTAGCAACAGGCAAAGGTCCTAAGCTAGGTACACGTAAGCCAAGAGATCCGTACGTGACAGAATAAACAGCATCCATAGACATATCAAACACAGGGAAACCACTACGAAACAGACCGGGCCAGATCGGGGGAGCCGACTCAGGCCCAAAACGCTCACGGTAAAGGTCGTCGAGGCGGCTGTAGCAGCGCTGTGCAGAGTGGTCAGGACGCCAGCAGGTAGTGCCAGCACCAGGGCCGGTCAGGATCCGGTACTGGCAGGGGCCGACGTCGCGGCCACCGCGACGAGCCCCCCAGCTGGCTGGGCCGCTGCTGCAGCCAACGCGACCTGAACCACCAGGCCCCCATGGCTGCTGAGGGCGCCACAGCTGCTGAGGGCGCCCCTGCCGCTGCGGAAGCCACTGCTGAAAAGGCCGCTGCTGCTGGAGAACCCTAGCGGACTCCATGATAAAAGCTAGCGGGGTGCAGGAGCGGTAGGCTAGGAGCGACAGGAGCGACAGGCTGCTGTGAAAAACGAGAACAACTAGGAGCGCAAGGTGAAACCAGGCGAGTAACTGCTGGAGCACGGAGCGAACTAAGCTAGGAGCGCCAGGTGAAACTAGGCGAGGAACGGCTGGAGCACGGAGCAAACTGAGCTAGAAGCGCCAGGTGAAACTAGGCGAGGAACGGCCGGAGCACGGAGCAAACTGAGCTACGAGCGAGGAGCGAGAACGGCTGGAGCGAGAACGGCTGGAGCTAGAAGCGGCGAGCTAGGGCTGGCTGGAGGTAGGAACGGCCGGGGCTAGAGACCGTAAGTGCGGCTGTCGGCTGCCGCTAGTAGAGCCACTGGCAGTGGAAAGTACGTGCGACAGTAGGGGCTGCAGTACTGACGGCTGCGGGATGTAGGCAACTGTGCAGGTCGTCCGGCAAGCAGGAACGCGGGCGACAGTCGCAGGCCCCCACTGTGAACCCCTTTTTTTTTTTTTTTTTTTTTTTTAGGGTTTAATTTATTTATTTATTTTCTGGCACTAAAGCACCCCGGGGCGCGCTGCCTGCAGGGTGTGCTGCCTGCGGGGCGCGCTACCCGCGGGGCGCGCTACCCGCGTGGCGCGCTGCCTGCGGGGCTGGGGTGACGAGCCAGGGAGGGCGCCTGGGCGACGGGCTAGGACGGGCGCCTGGGCGACGGGCTAGGACGGGCGCCTGGGCGACGGGCTAGGGCGCAGGCCTGGGCGACGGGCTAGGACGGGCGCCTGGGCGACGGGCTAGGGCGCAGGCCTGGGCGACGGGCTAGGGCGGGCGCCTGGGCGACGGGCTAGGGCGGGCGCCTGGGCGACGGGCTGGGGCGGGCGCCTGGGCGACGGGCTGGGGTGGGCGCCTGGGCGACGGGCTAGGGCGGGCGACGGGCTAGGGCGGGCGCCTGGGCGACGGGCTAGGGCGGGCGCCTGGGCGACGGGCTGGGGCGGGCGCCTGGGCGACGGGCTGGGGCGGGCGCCTGGGCGACGGGCTGGGGCGGGCGCCTGGGCGACGGGCTAGGGCGGGCGCCTGGGCGACGGGCTAGGGCGGGCGCCTGGGCGACGGGCTAGGGCGTGGGCCTGGGCGACGGGCTAGGGGCGCAGGCTAGGGGCGCGGAGGGCGCTAACGCGCGGAGGAGGAGGGCGCTAAGGCGCGGAGATGGCGCGGAGGGCGCGGTGGCTAAGGCGCGGAGGGCGCGGAGGGCGCGGAGGGCGCGGAGGGCGCGGAGGGCGCGGAGGGCGCGGAGGGTGCTAGGGCGCAAGGGCGCGGAGGGCGCGGAGGGCGCGGAGTGTGCTAGGGCGCAAGGGCGCGGAGGGCGCTAGGGCGCGAGCTAGGCTAGGCTAGGCGAGAGGATCGACACCTACTCATGATACCATCTCAAAGTTAGCGAACAACGGAATGATTGGAATAGAAACGAATGGGGTACAAATGAGCAACCCTAGAAGCTGTACCCCCTAGAGTGCAACTCACTATAGCCTATCATATCAATGTTCAACATTTGACAAAACGCACAGGCTGTCAAACTTTTCAAACGTTCGTAACGAACTTGTGTTTTCAAGTGGACCCAACTAGAAGGGGGGGGGTCACTATTTTAGCTGCTGGCTTTATACAAACGACTCAATTAGAAGCGCACCCCCCTCAAAAACACTGATTTATTATAAGCGCACCTGCGCTTTTATCCGGGGTAATACGGTACAACATTCTCCTCAACATCCGCCTCTGCGAATGCATTAACGTCAATGTTAAATTACAGATCCAATATGCTTGCGTCCCACACCAGTCGAGGAAATAGATGCACAACACGGTCTTCAAGGCTCCCCTCCCCTTCCATGGTGTGACAGTAAGGTATCGAGCATAAACATCCTGAGGCATCAGGGCAGGGGGGCGTGGATCACTCTAAATCTCAGGGTGATATAATTCAATTTATCTGAAATCATCAGTACAGGGCTTTCACTGCAAACATCCTGAGATTTCTGGCAAGTGGAGGTAGCATCACACTGAACTCAAGGTAATCAGGGTGTCTTGCCCTGATTCCATAGGCCCTTGACCTCGAGCCGAGGTCTACAACTGGAGGGGGGAAAGGGGGGAGGGAGGGTTTTGATCTTATATCAGGGTGATTACGGTATACAGGTTTCTTAGATCCCACGAAATGCCTCAAGAAGTGGTAACTAAATCTATGTACACTCTTATTGATACACAATGCCACGACTCACGATTCCACCATACGGAACACAACTAAGGCTCACAAATCCCTGCCTGGTTGTATGCTTTGCATGCGCTGCGGGCACAATAGTAAATCCCGCAGTCACACACAACACACCTGACGCCTGCCCACCACAAATCTTCTTGAGAAAATAACACCTCTCCTTACCTACACCACAAACTCCCTACTGTCCACCACACCCAAAATAGCCAGCTGTGCGCCCAACGCACCGCCACTGCCCTGCACATCCCTTCTCTCAGCGCCACTTCCCCAGAACATCCCGCTCCATCGCCCCCTGCTCTGCCTCCGCCCACTCTCCTCCCCACTCTCTCTCCTCTCCCCCCTTCCTCCCCTATCACTCCCCTGCAGCAGGGACGCGTGAAGCAGCTTGAGAGTGCGGAGGGCAGAGGAGGGAGTGGGGCGAGAGGAGGGGAAGGGGGAGGTGCAGGAGAGGGCGAGGTGGAAGAGGGGGAGGAGGAGGGAGTGAGGGGGTGGATGGTGTGGCAGGAGCGGATCGAGGAGAGGAGAGATGTTGCCGGCGGTCACATGCTGCTGGGCCTGAGGCTTGGGAGGAGAGGGGGAGAGAGAGGTGGGCAGAGGAAGAAGAAAATGGGAAGGTGTGCAGAAGGAGTGATGGAACGAGGAGGGACCGGGGGGGACAATGGGGATGGAGGAGCAGCGCAGTGTGAGCATGAGAGTCAGAGGTGTCCTATGTGAGTCGTGCATTGTGATGCCTGCCATGCAAAGGGCAATGCAGAATGCACAATGGGCGAGTTGTGCTACAACATCATCACCACAACAACACCATGCCATGCCATCCCATGCCATGCCATCCCATGCCCTGCTATCCCGCCCTGCCATCCCATGCACACATCATACCATGCCATAGCATGCCATGAGCAGCAGGGCAGCACGCACCCAGTCACAGATGTGCATGTGCTGCCCATCCACATGGCTGTAGGGTGCAGCCCACCCCATGAGCAGCTGCAGCAGCAGCACCCCCACGCTGGCAAGGGAAGAGCGGAAACAAGGGAGAAGAGGGAGGGCAGAACGGTGGAAAGCAGAATAGCAGCTGCATCAGCAGCGCTCCTACACTGGCAAATGGGATGGGCGACAGGGGAATTAGTAGGATGAGCAGTGTAGCAGCAGCACTCCCACACTAGCAAGTGCAGAGCAGGATGGTGGGGGAGGGGAGGGTTGTTGGGGGGGGAGGGAGGGGCGAGGAAGAGTGGGAAGGGGGAGAGAAAAGGGAAAGGGCAGACGCAGAAAAAAGGAGAGAGTGGAGAGGGGAACAGGATGGGGGAAGATGAGGGAGTGGGGGGAGCCGGCCCAGTAGAGACAGCAGCAGTGCACAGACAACTCCCTAAGCAGACGTACCTCCAAATAAACCCTAACCTAACTGGCGCAATGAACTCATGGACCATCGCTATCGTTCTTCATAAATGATAATACAATACTTTCTTGGTACACACACACACGCGCACGCACGCACGCACGCACGCACGCACACACACACACAGAATTGTAAAAAAAAAACGGCGAACAAACCAAACGGCGAAACGTGACCACAGAAAAAAACAAACGAACCACACAGAAAATGGCGAACACACAGAAAACACAGAATACACAGAATGGCGAAACAGAAAAACAAAACAAAATAAAACCAACAAACCAAACGGCGAAAAAACACAGAAACAACCAAATGTGACCACAGAAACGGCGAAACGGCGAAACCACGGCGAATTGTAATACACAGAATTCCATCCTCAGCCAAACGTGACCACTCAGTATCTCCAACCAACTTAGTAAAAAAAAAACAAACAAACCTTTCTTGATGGGATTCGTCTTTTCCGGCCCATCACCGATCCATTTCATGCCCTAGATTAATTTACGATCCTCTGACCTCTGCCTCTGGTACGCCATAGGCAGGCTTTCTTCCACCGCACCCCGCATGACCCCACCTCACCCCACCTCACCGTACCCCACCTGAACATGTCTGCCATGGCGGAGGTCATGCCGGAGTGCAGCAGAGAGGGATCCACATGCCCCTCCGTGCACCGCAGCACCACCACTCTCTGCTGCTGCCACCCTCCACCGCCACTGCCACTGCTGCTGCCACTCCTCCTGCTCTCCCTCCAACCCCCACTGCTGCCACTGCTGCCACTTGCGCCACTGCTGCCACTGCTGCCTCTCTTGCTACTGCCCCCAGCGCTGCCACTGCCACACTTGCTGCCTCCACCTTCCCCGCTCCCGCTCGCCCAGGAACCCTCCTGGTGACCTTCCAGGCATTTGCCACTGCCCTTGCCCAAGTCCACATGCACGTGCTGCCCCATGCGCACCGCACTCCAGTCACCCACTCGTGCCTGGTAGGAGAGGGGCCGAGAGGAGAGACAAGGGCAGGTGAAGAGTAGGGGAGTGAGACAGGTGAGGGGCGCGCAAGCATGAAAGTGGGGCTTTATGCAGTCTGGCTGAGAGGGTTGAGGGGCATGGCAGTCACACCGCACAAGAAGCAGCATGAATGACCTCCCAGACACCCCGATGTCAACTGGAAGTCAACTGGAAGTCACTTGCTGGAGCAGGGAAGAGCACTCACCTCCCAGGCGGCAGAGAGCAGCACGTTGGAGGGCTTGAGGTCGCCGTGCACCCGCCCGTGGCTTTGCACCGCCTTGAGCGCCCTCAGCACTCCCATTGTGATGCCCACCCGTTGCCGCAGCGACACGGGGCTGCTGCCTGCCTGTGCGGCTGATTGGAAGGCACAGGGAGGTGAGGCGTGGGAAATGGACAGGGCACTGGAAGGTTGGGAGCGAAGCATGCCCCTGTGAGGTCAACGGAGAATGGAAAAGAGTCTGTGAGGGAAGGAAGAGCGGAAACAAGGGAAGGAAGAGTGGCCACAAGGGAAGGAAGAGCGATCACTGCTGTGTGCAAATGCCGATGAAGCAACAGGATCTTGGGGGGTGAGCTGACCCGGGAGGAAGGAAGGTGGGGCATGATGGATTAACATGGAGAGGGGAGGCGAGGAGAGGAGAGGAGAGGAGTGTTGTAAACTTATATTTTATACAACGTCAATAGGCTAGATTACAGGGTGTATTCATTCCTTCTATTGGGGAGTTGATGGGTGTACCCTCTATCCACATCTTGTGGTTGGTCAAGATTGAATTTGGCCCTTGGACCTTGCTTGGCACTTGCCAACCTTTGGTCCTTAGCCCAACCAATCCTGACCAACTCACAATTGTGGTTGCTTGGGCTACAAGGCAATTCACCCATTGGCCAACTTAGTGACCAATTTGGTTAGCTCCTCTTCAACTCTTCTCTTTGGACCTTGCTTGTATTATAGAGCCTCTTGGCTCATTACTCAATACAACTTCTTGGATTCTAACAAGGAGAGGAGAGGCGAGGAGAGGAGAGGTGAGGAGAGGCGAGGAGAGGAGAGGAGAGGCGAAGAGAGGAGGAGAGAGGATGGGAGAGGAGAGGAGAGGCGTGGAGAGGAGAGGAGAGGCGTTGAGAGGAGAGGAGAGGCGAAGAGAGGAGAAGAGAGGAGAGGCGAGGAGAGGAGAGAAGATGAGAGGGGAGGAGAGGAGAAGAGAGCATGGGAGAGAAGAGGAGAAGATAGGAGAGGAGAAGAGGAGAGGAGAGGGAAAGAGAGGAGAGGAGAGGAGACAAAACGAGGAGACAAATGGCGGGGCGGTCGACTGTGAGCGCACCTGCCTGCAGCAGCGCCTCCACGCTGCCCCTCTCCATCCACTCATACACCAACACCTGCCCCTCCCCCCTCCTCTGCCTGCCTCCCTCCTCTCCCCGCTTCGCCCGCTCCTTCCCACACCTTTCCCCATCATCGCTGGGCCTCGCGCTGCCCTCTCCTTCCGGCCAGCAGCACCACCCCACGAGACGGAGCACGTTGGGGTGCCTCAGGCGTGCCAAGGCAGTCGCGTGGGCCTCCAGTGACGCCCACTGCGCCTCCTCTCTCATGCGCTTCACTGCCCACACGCCCCCGCCCCCCCGCACTCTCCCCTTCCCTGCACGCACCCCCTGCTTCCTCTCCTGCAGCCCTCCCCCCACCTCTCCCCCTTCCTGCGTCCCCTCTCCTCCTACCTGCTTCCCCTCTCCTTCCGTTCCAGCCCCTTCACACTTCTCCCCCTCGCCCCCATCCTCGCCCTTTTCCCTCTCCTCCTCCTCCCCCCACTCCCCCCATTCCCCCCGGTACACATCACTCCACCTGCCTCCCCCCACCCTCCGCCCCTCTGCCCACCCATTGGTGGCCCTGATGACGTCAGCAAGGGAAATGTGAGCGCAGGGGGGGGTGTGCTTGAGCATGGAAGCAGCTGAAAGCAGAATGGGGGAATTGGGGGAAAAAGGAGGGAGAATTGGGGGAATGGGAAAATGGGGGGAACGAGGAAATGGGGAATTGGGGGGGATGGGGGGGATGTGGGTACAGGGGGAATTGAAAACATGAGGGGAATGAATAATGGGGAGGACGTATTGTCAGAACTTAAGCTTAAAATCCATATCTTAGTAATGAGCTCGCAGCTCTTTAAGTACATCCAAGATGGGCAAGGAAGGGATGGGGAAGGGAATCAGGGGCAATCTCTAGGGATTGGGGGTAATCCCAAGGCAATCTCCAATTGGTGGATTGGAGATTGCTTGGAGATCACATTTGGGTTTGGTTGGGATGTAGGTGTACACCCAACCAAACACCAAGTGCAAACTACACTACACAAGGATATAGAAAGTACAAAATACTAAGTGTGAGATTGAGGTCTAACACTAACCCGTATGATAGGGGTTTGGGGCGGTCAAAGAAGGAAGAGGTGGGAAAGAAAGGACGAGAAGTGGTGCTGCTGAAAGGGAGGTGGTGCTGGTGAACGAGAGGTGGTGGAAGCACATGAAACGAGGAGAAGGGAAGCATCGTCTCTCCACCCACACGCACACCCAGCAAGAAGTGGGCGGCATGCGACACACACATGCTCCACTGCATGTCAGCACAGCATCACGTGCCATTCTTAGAATCCCACCCACCACATCACATGCCCTCTTCATTTCCCCTCTCCACCCTTTCCTCCCCAGCCCTCTTCCCCGCCCACTCACTCATATCTTCCCCCTTCTGCACCTGCCCTTGCCTCCACCACCACCACCCCCATCCCCCCCCCCCCACCACCACCAGCAGCAGCACTGCTGCTGCACCCGTTGCTGCCCCCGCAATCGTGGATGGTGATAGGGAGGAGGGCGGAGAAGGGGGAGGGGGAGGGGAAGCAAGCAACACCGTGATGATAGGGGGAGGAGGTGGAGGTGAGGGGGGCGGCGGAGGGGGAGGAGGCGAAGGGGGAGGCGGTCTGAGGATTGGTGCTGAGAGGGATAAAACAGGGGGATGGGATGAGGGGTTTGGGGGAGTGATGGATGGGTGGGCTGATGGGATGGGGGATAGGCGGGCAGGCCTGAGTAAGGAAGCAAGTTTTGAAGAGCGAAAACGGAGATAAATGGAATGGGTAGATTTGGGAAGCATAGAAGTGGGCCGGGTCGAGTCGGGTCGACCTATCATGTCTAGGGGAATCCGGGGAGAAAAATAAGCTAAAAAAAGAAAAGAAAAGAAAAAAAGGGAGGAGCTCTTGGCGTGGAGGACAAAAACAAGGCGAAGTGCATGGTTGGTTGGTTGGTGTGATCCCCCTGACCGTTGATTGGGGTGCACATGGAGCAGAAAGTCGAGCAGATTCTGCAAAACATGGATGAACGGTTGTGATTTATTTCACAGCCTCCCTTCATTGGGCAAAGCACCGCCCTAGGGAACTGACTGAAAGATGTTGCACACAGAGGGCAGATGGGCAGGCAGAGAGAGGGCAGATGGGCAGGCAGAGAGAGGGCAGATGGGCAGCAGGCACACAGAGAGAGGCATCTTCAGTTCAGATTATCATTCTGTTTGTATCATGCATAGGGCTATAATGCTTGGGTATATTCAGGGACCCCAAACTTAGTTTGGGTGCACAACTAGAGTTTACCCTTGTTGTAGGTTGGGATGGGAACCCAATCTTGGCCCAGTCATTTGGTTCCAAGTTTGGGCTGGAGAGAATACTGGAACCCTTCAATAAATTTTCACCGCGGGTTAATGGTTGGTTGGGGGCAATAATCTCAGCTCAGCCAAGAACCAAGCCAACCACCCCTTGCTGCTCTCACTACAAGGTATAGCTCTCACTATTTCAATCCAAATTATGGTTCCGCATAAATCTCACAGGTATGCCATGCGGAGGCAGTGCGATATGTGACAGACACTCATGGCCTGCCTTGTGAGTCATTCAAGATGTACGTAACATGTACTCATAAAGAAGAGGAAAACGCACAATGACTGAAGATTCGTGAGGGCTCCAAAAGCGGCAGGGATGGTTCCAAGAAGCTTTGTTTCATGCAATTCACTGAGTGGGATGCGGTTTGGAAAAGTGAGTCCACGGGAGAGGAAGAGGGAGGGGAGAAAGAGACCAATCAGAGGAAGGTGGGAGTGAATTGACGAGAGGGATAAAGAAACCATTAGTTTGATTCAAGTGAAGGCAATGAGTGGGTTGTTCAAAGGCATGGACGCGGCAGGAGGTAGAGTCGGTAGGAGGTAGAGTCGGCAGGAGGTAGAGTCGGCAGGAGGTAGAGTCGGTAGGACGTAGAGGCAAAATTGGGTGTAGGGGCGGAGAGAGGAGAAGGGGATGGAGCATGTTGTAATATCTTCTATGCAACATGAATATGCTAGAATAGTTATAGGGTTGTTGGGTGTACCTCCAATCCAACCAATCACAATTTGTGGTTGAACGCTCGGTTGGGTTCCCAACAATTATTGGACCTCCAGTAATGTTGGTTCAAACCCACCCGACAACTATTGGAGCCCCAATAATGTTGGTCCAACCAAACCAGCAGTAATTGGGGCCTCCGATAATTGTTGGCAAAGCTCATCCATTACCGTTTCCTCCACTAATGTATACCTTGGCTCATTTGAACCTACTATCAATACAATTCTTCTTTTCAACGGAGCAGGGGTTGGAGAGGAAGGGGGTGGCAGGGGGGGGACGAGCAGGGGGGAGCGCAGAGGGTGGGGAGGAAGGGGGAGGGGGAGCACAGGTTGGAGAGGCGAGTGAGGACGGCGAGGAAGCGAGGCAGGTGTCCCGAGATGGCCGTGCCGCCGAGTAAGCTGGGGGGAGGGGGGCGAGGGAAGTGGGAAAGGGTAGGCGGAAGGAGAGAGGGGGAAGGGGGCAAGGGGAAGGGGGAATGGGAAGGGGGCAGGGAAGTTGGAATGGGGATGAGGCATGGCAAGAAGGGTGGAGGCGGAAAGCATGGGAGTGGGGCAGGCTATGGCAGGGGATGGGCCACGCGCTTATGAAGAGGACGAGAGGTACACGAGGGGGAGAGGAAGAGAGGTACACGAGGGGGAGAGGAAGAGAGGTACACGAGGGGGAGAGGAAGAGAGGTACACGAGGGGGAGAGGAAGAGCGGGGGGGAAGAAAAAAAATACACAAAACGAGGAGAGGGTAAAAGAGCGGAGCAGGGCAGAGTGGGATGAGGGGATGGGACGAGGAGCATGGAGGGTGAAGTGCAGATGCGGAGGGGAGTGAGGCGGCATGGGAGGGCGGTGGGGGAGGAGAGAGCTGTGGGTAATGAGCTGGAGGAGAAGGCCGTGGGGAATGAGATGGAGGAGAGGGCCGTGGGGAATGAGATGGGGGAGAGGGCCGTGGGGAATGAGATGGGGGAGAGGGCAGTGGGGAATGAGATGGAGGAGAAGACCGTGGGGAATGAGATGGAGGAGAGGGCCGTGGGGAATGAGATGGGGGAGAGGGCCGTGGGGAATGAGATGGGGGAGAGGGCCGTGGGTGGGGAATGAGATGGGGGAGAGGGCGGTGGGGAATGAGATGGAGGAGAGGGCCGTGGGGAATGAGATGGGGGAGAGGGCAGTGGGGAATGAGATGGAGGAGAAGACTGTGGGGAATGAGATGGAGGAGAGGGCCGTGGGGAATGAGATGGAGGAGAAGACCGTGGGGAATGAGATGGGGGAGAGGGCCGTGGGGAATGAGATGGGGGAGAGGGCCGTGGGGAATGAGACGGGGGAGAGGGCCGTGGGGAATGAGATGGGGGAGAGGGCCGTGGGGAATGAGATGGGGGAGAGGGCCGTGGGGAATGAGATGGAGGAGAGGGCCGTGGGGAATGAGATGGGGGAGAGGGCCGTGGGGAATGAGATGGGGGAGAGGGCCGTGGGGAATGAGATGGAGGAGAGGGCTGTGGGAAATGAGATGAGTAGCACAGGTGCAGTAGAGGGCTGTGAGGCAGAATGTTGAGAGATGGTGCAGGCCGGTGGAGAGCCACACGCAGGAGGAGGAGGGGCAGGGGGGGATGGGGAAAGGGGGCAGGGGGAAAGGGAAGTTGGCAGGTGACTGACAGCTGCTGGAGGGAGGTGAGGCGGGAGAGAGCGCGAGGCAGGGAGCCCGTGAGGTGGGGATTCTGACTAAGCACCCTGCCATGTGATGCATGCGCACGTGGGGAGTGGGATGGGCATGGTCAGCAAGGAGTATTCTCCCCATGTGCTGCCTTCTTCCCCTTGTGGTGCCTACTTCTCCCCCTGCTGCCTTCTCCCCATGCTGCCTTCTCCCCCTGCTGCCTTCTTCTCCCCGACCTGCACAGAGACGGCTTTGCTGGCACAGCCGCACGAAAGGGAGCAGAGGAGGGCAGGAGCAGAGCCAGCAGAGGGCAGGAGCAGAGCCAAACGCTGGCAAGCAAGCTGTGTTATTATGTTTTTATATAACATGCATATGCTAGAATAGGTGTAGGGTTGTTGGGTGTACCTCTAATCACAATTAGTGGTTGAAGCTTGGTTAGCTTCCCAACAAATATTGGACCTCCAGTAATGTTGGTTCCAACCCACCCGACAATTATTGGAGCCCCAATAATGTTGGTCTAACGAAACCAACAATTACATAAGCCTCCAACAGTTGCTGGCCAAGCTCATCCATCTATCATTCTCTCCACCTATGTATACATTGGCTCATTCGAGCCTGAGATAAAACGACTACTTTTTTAACACAAGCTGAGCAATGCTAGAGAGTGTCACAATGGAAACATTGATCTTTAAAGACTACAAATTGTACTGAACGATTGTGGAAGGTGCAAAGAGGCAAGTGCATGCAGCTCACAGAAACTGGAGGTTGGAAAGGGCAGCAATGGTGGAGGGGAGGCTCCCTGTGATGGCGTTGGATGGCGCATAGCTGGTGGTGGTGGGTGGTGAACCATGGGCCATGTGATGGACGATGGGATGATGCGAGGTGCGGGAGATGTGCGATGCGCAGGAGGTGTGCGATGCGCAGGAGGTGTGCGATGCGCAGGGGGTGTGCGATGCGCAGGAGGTGTGCGATGTGCAGGAGATGTGCGATGTGCAGGAGATGTGCGATGTGCAGGAGATACGGGATCAATGCAGTCGGCCTGCGGGAAAGAGGAGACGCTGCAGCGGCAGGCACGCACATGCTGCAGCAGCAAGTCTTGTCCAGTGTTTCTGCATTACCAGATCAAGGGGTTACAGCTCAATGGCAGTGCAAGGAAGAGGGGCGCTGGTTACATGTTTTGCAGTGCCGTTAGGGCGCTGATGGTGTCGGGCAGAGGGCCAGAGAGGCCAGTGTTTGCCATGCTCCTGTTGCAGGGGAGGGACGTGCGGGGTGATGCATGCTAGGGACGTTGAGTGAGGGGTGGCGCTGCATCTGCGTGGAGTGGGATGGGATGCGTACAGGAAAGAAAGGCGAACAGGAGGGAGAGGCGTACAGAAGGGAGAGGCATACAGAAGGGAGAGGCATACAGGAGGGAGAGGCATACAGGAGGGAGAGGCATACAGAAGGGAGAGGCATACAGGAGGGAGAGGCATACAGGAGGGAGAGGCATACAGGAGGGAGAGGTATACAGGAAGGAGAGGCATACAGGAAGGAGAGGGCGGTGAGATGGCTGATTTCTTGCGGCAGTGGCGCGTCCAAGTAGTTGGAATCCAAATCGCTGGAAGCATGTAGGGCGGGAAAGGAAGGGAGAATGGGGAGTGGCATGGGAGGGAAGGGAAGGCAGAGAGGGAATGGCATGGGATGGGAGGGAAGGGAAGGGAGAGCGGGGATGGCATGGGAGGGAGGGAAGAGAGTGTGGGGACCATGGGAGGGAGGGGAGGAGATGGGAGGGAGCGGTAGCGGGGGGGAAAGGAGAAGGATAAAGGAGAGAGGGGAGGGATATGGGGAAGGACCCAAAAGGAGGAGTGGATGGGCGAGTTGTGGGCTGAGCAGGAGGGAATTCGATGGCTGAGGAGAGCAAGAGCGAGGAAGTGCGAGCAGGAGGCGAGAAAGGGAGTGAGGGAGAGAAAGGGGAGTTGGGCTGACAGAAACACAAGGCGATGCAGGCGTGAGACGGCAGGTGAAATGGGCCCCGTGAAGCGATTGTTGTAGAATGAACTGGCAGGGGAGGGATGGGGATTAGGAGGATCAGGAACACAGAGAAGGCAAGGCAGAGACAGTGTGATGCGAGACGAGATGATGGAAATGGGAAGTGAGGGATGGAGGAGGAAGGTGAAAAACAGCACGGCAGTGCAGGCAGTGCAAGGGGCCCCTTGGCTGTCGTGCCATGTCACTCGCAGCAAACACGATTCAGTGGTAATAAGGCAACAACAAAGGATGGCATGTTGGTTACAGGGTAACAAGGGATGGCATGTTGACGACAACGTCGAAAATAGGGCCAGTAAAATTGTTGCCGTTTAGAATTCTGCATGCGTGCACACACACACACGCACGCAGACACACACGCACGCACACACACACACACACACACACACACACACACACACACACCCACAAACACACACACACACACACGCACGCACGCACACACACACACACGCACACGCACGCACGCACGCGCACACACACACACACACACACACACACACACACGCACGCACGCACGCGCGCGTGAACGTACACATGCACATGCACACATGCACACGTGCACGCTCGCACACACGCATGCTCACACAAGCCCACACACACATTCACGCAAACATACAAACCCCCCCCCCCCCCCCCCCCCCCACACACACACACACACAGACACAATCTCGCCCAAACACATGCACACACACAGAACAGAGGGAATCAGCGGCCTTCCAGCCGCACGTGCATGCAGAGATACCATCACAGGATGACAACACAAACCGGCACACGGCTACTTCCACTCAAGCCTCCTCAAATTAAAGTTCTAACCTGCCTCACAGGGGGCGGTGTGCCTCACAGGGTGCGCAGGCGGACGAGAGTGGAGAGGGCGGGCGGCAGGGGTCCGGACAATCGGTTGACGCGCACATCACTGCACGCATTGTGCACGAGACAAAGGGTTTTGGGGGGAGAGATGGGGCGGCGGGCTGTGGTAGGTTGTGGGAGGTGGGCGAGCATGAAAGTGAGGAGGCAAAGGAGTGGGTGACGAGTGGAGTGGGTGACGAGTGGAGTGGGTGACGAGTGGAGTGGGTGACGAGTGGAGTGAGTTACGGGTGGAGTGAGTTGCGGGTTGACTGACAGGGAGTGGAGGCGGGAGAGGGCGGAGAGGGCGATGGGCAAGGAGCCGTTGAGGCTCCTCTGCGCCACGTCCCTGCCCACAGCGCAAGGGGGGGGGGGGGTGGGTGGAGAGGGGTAGGTAGGGTAGGGGGGTGGTGGCAGGGGAGGGCCCGTTAGGCAGGAGAAGTGGCCGTGGCTATGGCGGTGCCGTGATGAGGAAAGAACAGTCGCGGTGGGGGGAAGGAATGAGGAAGCAAGAGAGCAGTGCGTGCGTGTTGCCATGGAATGCATGCGGTGGCAGCAGTGCAGCACAGCACAATGCGTCCTTCCAAGTGGGCTTGTGCTCGCCTCTTGCGCTCATGCCCCTCATGCCTTCACCCACGTGCATCTTGATTGCCTTCACCCACTTGCATCTTGATTGCCTTCACCCACGTGCATCTTGATTGCTTTCACCCACGTGCATCTTGATTGCCTTCACCCACGTGCATCTTGATTGCCTTCACCCACGTGCATCTTGATTGCCTTCACCCACGTGCATCTTGATTGCCTTCACCCACGTGCATCTTCATTGCCATCACCCACGTGCATCTTCATTGCCTTCACCCATGTGCATCTTGATTGCCTTCACCCACGTGCATCTTGATTGCCTTCACCCACGTGCATCTTGATTGCCTTCACCCACGTGCATCTTCATTGCCTTCACCCACGTGCATCTTGATTGCCTTCACCCACGTGCATCTTGATTGCCTTCACCCACGTGCATCTTGATTGCCTTCACCCACGTGCATCTTGATTGCCTTCACCCACGTGCATCTTGATTGCCTTCACCCACGTGCATCTTGATTGCCTTCACCCACGTGCATCTTGATTGCCTTCACCCACGTGCATCTTGATTGCCTTCACCCACGTGCATCTTGATTGCCTTCACCCACTTGCATCTTGATTGCCTTCACCCACGTGCATCTTGATTGCCTTCACCCACGTGCATCTTGATTGCCTTCACCCACGCGCATCTTCATTGCCTTCACCCACGTGCATCTTGATTGCCTTCACCCACGTCCATCTTGATTGCCTTCACCCACGTGCATCTTGATTGCCTTCACCCACGTGCATCTTGATTGCCTTCACCCACGCGCATCTTCATTGCCTTCACCCACGCGCATCTTCATTGCCTTCACCCACGTCCATCTTGATTGCCTTCACCCACGTGCATCTTGATTGCCTTCACCCACGTGCATCTTGATTGCCTTCACCACGTGCATCTTGATTGCCTTCACCCACGTGCATCTTGATTGCCTTCACCCACGCGCATCTTCATTGCCTTCACCCACGTGCATCTTGATTGCCTCCACCCACGTGCATCTTGATTGCCTTCACCCACGTGCATCTTGATTGCCTTCACCCACGTGCATCTTCATTGCCTTCACCCACGTGCATCTTGATTGCCTTCACCCACGTGCATCTTGATTGCCTTCACCCACGTGCATCTTGATTGCCTTCACCCACGTGCATCTTGATTGCCTTCACCCACGTGCATCTTGATTGCTTTCACCCACGTGCATCTTGATTGCCTTCACCCACGTGCATCTTGATTGCCTTCACCCGCGTGCATCTTGATTGCCTTCACCCACGTGCATCTTCATTGCCATCACCCACGTGCATCTTCATTGCCTTCACCCATGTGCATCTTGATTGCCTTCACCCACGTGCATCTTGATTGCCTTCACCCACGTGCATCTTGATTGCCTTCACCCACGTGCATCTTCATTGCCTTCACCCACGTGCATCTTGATTGCCTTCACCCACGTGCATCTTGATTGCCTTCACCCACGTGCATCTTGATTGCCTTCACCCACGTGCATCTTGATTGCCTTCACCCACGTGCATCTTGATTGCCTTCACCCACGTGCATCTTGATTGCCTTCACCCACGTGCATCTTGATTGCCTTCACCCACGTGCATCTTGATTGCCTTCACCCACGTGCATCTTGATTGCCTTCACCCACTTGCATCTTGATTGCCTTCACCCACGTGCATCTTGATTGCCTTCACCCACGTGCATCTTGATTGCCTTCACCCACGCGCATCTTCATTGCCTTCACCCACGTGCATCTTGATTGCCTTCACCCACGTCCATCTTGATTGCCTTCACCCACGTGCATCTTGATTGCCTTCACCCACGTGCATCTTGATTGCCTTCACCCACGCGCATCTTGATTGCCTTCACCCACGCGCATCTTCATTGCCTTCACCCACGTCCATCTTGATTGCCTTCACCCACGTGCATCTTGATTGCCTTCACCCACGTGCATCTTGATTGCCTTCACCACGTGCATCTTGATTGCCTTCACCCACGTGCATCTTGATTGCCTTCACCCACGCGCATCTTCATTGCCTTCACCCACGTGCATCTTGATTGCCTTCACCCACGTGCATCTTGATTGCCTTCACCCACGTGCATCTTGATTGCCTTCACCCACGTGCATCTTCATTGCCTTCACCCACGTGCATCTTGATTGCCTTCACCCACGTGCATCTTGATTGCCTTCACCCACGTGCATCTTGATTGCCTTCACCCACGTGCATCTTGATTGCCTTCACCCACGTGCATCTTGATTGCTTTCACCCACGTGCATCTTGATTGCCTTCACCCACGTGCATCTTGATTGCCTTCACCCGCGTGCATCTTGATTGCCTTCACCCACGTGCATCTTCATTGCCTTCACCCACGTGCATCTTGATTGCCTTCACCCACGTGCATCTTGATTGCCTTCACCCACGTGCATCTTGATTGCCTTCACCCACGTGCATCTTGATTGCCTTCACCCACGTGCATCTTGATTGCCCTCACCCACGTGCATCTTGATTGCCTTCACCCACGTGCATCTTGATTGCCTTCACCCACGTGCATCTTGATTGCCTTCACCCACGTGCATCTTCATTGCCTTCACCCACGTGCATCTTGATTGCCTTCACCCACGTGCATCTTGATTGCCTTCACCCACGTGCATCTTGATTGCCTTCACCCACGTGCATCTTGATTGCCTTCACCCACGTGCATCTTGATTGCTTTCACCCACGTGCATCTTGATTGCCTTCACCCACGTGCATCTTGATTGCCTTCACCCACGTGCATCTTGATTGCCTTCACCCACTTGCATCTTGATTGCCTTCACCCACGTGCATCTTGATTGCCTTCACCCACGTGCATCTTGATTGCCTTCACCCACGTGCATCTTGATTGCCTTCACCCACGTGCATCTTGATTGCCTTCACCCACGTGCATCTTGATTGCCTTCACCCACGTGCATCTTGATTGCCTTCACCCACGTGCATCTTGATTGCCTTCACCCACTTGCATCTTGATTGCCTTCACCCACGTGCATCTTGATTGCCTTCACCCACGTGCATCTTGATTGCCTTCACCCACGTGCATCTTGATTGCCTTCACCCACGTGCATCTTGATTGCCTTCACCCACGTGCATCTTGATTGCCTTCACCCACGTGCATCTTGATTGCCCTGCTCCTGTTGCATCCCTGTGCTGTGCTCTCCTGCGCGCACCTGTCTCCCCTCACACTCACAGTGACACCACCATGCTGCCGCACACGCACTCACAGCGCCCACCATCATTCCCTGCACTCTCCCGCCCACATGCATCCCTGGCGCTCCCACACTCACAGTGACGTCACCATGCCGTCGCCATCGCATGTGATGGCCTGCGCCTGCGTGCACTCCGCGCCCCGCACCCATCCCGTTGCGCTCATCCCCCACTCCGCCGCACACTCCATCAGCGCTGCCGCTGCCAACCGATCGCGCGGGCAGTGGGGGCGGAGAGGCGCGGCGGACAGCGGGAGTTGAGAGGAAGAGGGGGCGCGAGGAGGTGGATGGGGGAGGGGAGGAAGAGGAAATGGGCCGGAGTTCTGTCTTCCGCAAAGCTCGAGTGCGGCGCGAGCGCAGTGCGAGTGCAGCAGCGCGAGCGCAGCAGCGCGAGTGCAGCAGCGCGAGCGCAACAGCGCGAGTGCAGCAGCGCGAGTGCAGCAGCGCGAGTGCAGCAGCGCGAGTGCAGCAGCGCGAGTCCGGCAGCGCGAGTGCGGCAGCGCGAGTGTAGCAGCGCGAGTGCGGCAGCGCGAGGTGAAGGAAAAACCAGCGGGGTGGCTCCGGAATTTGTTGCAAGCTCCGGGGCAGGAGGAGAAGGAGAGGGAAAGGGTGAGCGAGGGGGAGAGCGGCGGGGGAGGGGGAGCGAGGTATGCGAGGATGGCAGGGGATGAGGGCGTGGGGATCTTTCCGCGAGAGCCCGAACAAGGTAGGGGTCAGTAGAGTAAATGGGGTGGGGTTGGCGCGAGCATAGGGGAACGGAGGAGAATTCTCGTAGCTAGCTGCGGTTTGAGCGCATGAATGCCTCGCGCTGGGAGCGCACCTTGGGAGTCGGCGAGAATGACGGGCTGGACGACACGTGGCAGGAGAGTGACGATGACTGTTGCTAGCCACGGAATGGCGGCTGCGACGATCCGCGACGTCGTTCTACTAGCCGGCCTCGCACGACCCATTTCGTTACAACGCCGAATGGGAGTGATGGGACGTACACTCCACTCCACTGCTGGACTTCCAGTGGGCGTTAAAATTCGATTATAAGTCGAATTAGGTCAACTTGAACGCCACTCCACGCGTTCCTCGGATCCTTGGAACTCACACCGCCATGGTCACTATGATTTCGTCCGAAACGATTTACTTTGTTGCGTGGTAAAGCATCGTTTGCTTCATTGTCTTTTAGCCTTGCGAATATCCTGTCGCCTCTCCCACCTGCCTTTCCGTGCGATGCTTGCAGCTTGCGACTGAAGGCGCGTTGAAGTTGGAAACACTGAAGGTCGAGGGAGGGACAAATAGGTATATCCTTCACAGCACTGTAACCACGCTCCACGTCTCCCAAACTCACAGAGCCATATCTGAGAACCGGGGGGGCGATCGATTGATGCTGAGAACCCTTCATCGCCATTTGCGGCGTGTCGCAAGCTATGGGAAACTGTTGGAGCAGCGAGTTTCTGTTGACAAACACCATGTTTGGCCTTGTTCCAGGGCACGGAAGAGATATCCAGGCGAGCTGTACAGCACAGTATGAACTGGCACGAGAGGCGCTGACACAGAATCAGGGCGCGTAAGACCTGTTCAAACGCGGTTGAAAACTAGAGCATGAAAATCACCAAAATGCACCCAACCAAGCTTCTTCTATACTGATTTGTACCGCTTGTCACCCATGCCATTTCATGAACAGCTCCCTCAAAACGCATCTGCAACGACGTAAGGGCGTGTAACATGTCAGCCAACCAGGCTCTGGTCAACAATTTGGTCGACCACAGCTTCGCCAGAGTTCGCGACAAGCGAACCGACAATGACGTGGCGGATATAGAGCACTCCAACAATGTCTCGGCGTAACCATCTTAGGTTTGCGACCATCTACAGTGGCGACACGCGAATTTGGATGACAAGATTTTGCTGGCATACGACTCATGACTTCGCCCAGACCTATCTCGAGCTGCACAGTTAAAACCGGGGTGCACATTCAGCTGAATGTGCATCAAAGGTTATCCCTTGACTGAGTGGGTTACGA